CGATGCTAAGTTCCGCTATTTTGATAGCCCTAGTATAGACCGGCTTCTATTCTTAATTATGGCAAAGAATGCATCAAGGAATCTCAATCAAAGGTTTGACCCAAAGGAACTTGTGTGATGGCATAGTATGCACCTCAAAGCCCAAACCTAGCCCACTGCAACTACTTCTGCCCGCAACAGAAGAAGAAGCACACGAAAGTGCATGCTACGTGACGATTGAGTAGATAAAGAAGTCATCGCAGGATCAGCTGAACAAGATCATAAAGGATGATATTTTCGAAGATTGGAATGGAAGTTGTATAATATCTGAGTGTTGGTTACTGTGAAGCGCACAAAATAGATAGACTCATGAATACAAAGCACACATTACGCTGTAAGCAGACCTCGCACACATATGCTGCGTGCCATTAAACGCGCTTGTGGCAGCGAGTTCGTGTCCTAAGTCTTTTGTTTTATGACCGCCGCTATGTAACAGGCGCTGCATAATCAATTAGAAGTGAGCAACAACAAACAGTTTTTGGGAAAGGCAATGTTGGGCAAAGGAAAGTGCAAGTGATGTCCACTATATAAAATATATATAATATATATATTTCTCTTTCGTCAGTTTGTTTGTTGCTGCGTGATGCGCATTTAAAAATCAAAAATCACAAAATTTCAATCAAACTACAAACTGTAGAAAGTCTTTGCATAAGTATATAAATATATATATATATACAAAATATATATTTTTTTGTATTGACTACCTCTATTACACATTCTTACATAAGTCGCTGGCTTAACGGTTAACTCTAACTAAGTTTGGCTGCTCCTTGACCCAGTTAGAGCCGAACCCAAAAAACTCACTTTTCTAGATTCGCTGAAATTCTTGTCAATTTTTTTCACTTTGTTTTCGCTTTTTTATTTATGTCGCACGTTTTTCTTGTATCTTCTTTGGATTCAGTTTTTGTGCATCCTTAGCTGTTAACCGTTACAAGAAGTTGCACGTTTCTGATTGGTTGCAGCAGAAGCAGGAGCAGAGCTAGCGAACGGGCAGTCAACCGCGCGCGCAAACGTTTCAAATTCAACTAAAGCGGCCAACGGCTGAGCCAAGCGATAAAAGCGCCACGAAAAAATGCACAGGCGAGCGCTTGAAGAAGGGGCGGGCGAGCAGGCGAGACATAGGCAGAAGCTACCCAAAACGATAAACCTGTATGCAAGACATGGACGTGGACTTGGTGTTGGTCTTGGTCTTAGTGTTTGGTGCTGCTGTTGGCGTTGGCTTTTGGTCTTGGCCGATTGAGTGTGTGCGTTTGATTTCCTCTTTGCCAAAAAGCAGACAGAGCTATGAGCTATGAGCCATGAACTAGGAAGTGCCATGAGTCATAGTCCTCCATCAAATTGAGGTCGCGTGCCACAGAGGCAGCAAATTAGTTTCACTAACGTTCATCACAATCGACATGAGTTCTGGGCCTGGTCATTCCAAACTTTCCATGCGTATTGAATGCGACTGTGCGTACAACCAAGAGATGCCAGTTGCGGTTTTCCAATCGAGTGCTGTCCACAAGGCGTTTGGCCAGTTGTCCAGGCGCTTGTCTAGTTTTGAACAATTTAGAACTTGCTTTACAAGCAGCTAACCAAGACGTGTGCGTGAGCCATAACAGGCTGCCGTTTCGCTTTGAAAGTGAGTCCAGAAGTCTAGAAAACTGGGTCAAGGTTCTGCATATGGGAAAACAATTAAAATAGCTGAGGCGAAAATGTGAAATGTAAATATTTTAATTTTTATATTATAGCCATTTTTCATAAATATTTACTACTTAATTAAGACAATTTTAGACGCGTAAATGGCGCCATCATTAAGTACGTGGTGAAAATTTATTGAGGCTCATGTAAATCGAATAAATCGTTATCAGCGAACCCTTGCGCGTACGTGCCGTTGGCTTTAATGAAGCGTTGCACGCTGATTGACATAATTTCACACAGCTAAACGCTTTCCATTTGCTATTGCTTCATTTAAATAAAAGCCGCAAACCCATTTTATTGGCCTTGCGTAATGGTTGGCGCTTCGAATAGATTTAAAGTCTGCAAATAACATTCAAATGCTAACGTTCAACGTGGCATAGTGTTGCCAGACTGCGTCGACTGAGTGAGTGTTGCAGAATTGATATGCTGTCTGCAACAATCATAACTATCGCATTGTTATCGATTTTTTATTTAATCAAATTTATGTAACAACAAAATATCAACATTTTTTAGACAATAGTAAATACATCTTTTAGTAATGCAATGTACTCCTCAGCTCCCTTGGCATTGGCTTCTTTATAGTATGGCAGCTCACCGAGGCGTGCCAGCCAGGCGGTAATCTTTGGATACTTCTCCGGATCGATGCTCACCATGGCAGGCAAAGATGATGCTGTAGCGCCACAGCAGAAATCGGCAATTGTCACAGTATCGCCAGTCAAATAGGGACTATCACCCAGAAAGTTTTCCAGATGCCCATAAGCATCGATAATGTTGTCTATCTTCTCCTGGGGCACTGTCGTGACCTTCTTGTAAAAATACGGTACACTTATGTTCCTCAACGACATGAAGAGAACACTGGCATCAAAATACAAGCGCTGCTCCAGCTTAGCTCTCTTCACTAGATCCTTCGGATAGAGATCATCCGATTTTCCATACTTATCCACCAGATAGCAACAGATAGCATGAGAGTCCCATATTAAGGTACCGTCGTCATCCAAGAGGGGCACCGTATGCTGTGGATTCTTCTGCAAAAATTCCTCAGTTCTATGCTCTCCTTTCAAAAGATCGACGATTTTGTATTCAAAGGGCACATCGAGCGCACGCAGAGTTAGAAGGCAGGCACGCACTGGGGGACTTATGTCCAAGCCGTAGAGCACCAATTTCGACATACTTAAATTCAGCTCTGAGCACAGATAAGAGCACAGACAAGAGCGCAGACAACTATCTGAACCGGGGTGTAGCCGGTAACTGCAAATACGTATGTAGCTGTTCGACTTCTAAGGCCTCACATATGCTGAGCGAGCTTTTTTATAGAGCTGTTGAGCCGACTAAGTAAAATGAGTGAAAAGCTCAATCTATTAATAGATTGAAATAAACAAAGTTGTCGCCGCTCAAATTTCATTTAATTGGAAGCCCAGCAACATAAACTATTTTAATAAACTTCTGCATTAATATAAGCAACTAATAATATCGCTAAGCATACATTTTCTTAAAATTTGAAATACCCATTGATGTGATGTCATAAAACGATATAGATAAGACGGGTTTAAAGTCTTCACAATCAACATTCAAATGCTAACGTTTGACTCGACCCAGTGCTGCCAGACTGCATCAAGTGCGTGAGTGCTGTACAACCCAGCTGCTGGTTATTACAACTAAAATTTTCACATTACTATCGATATTTTATTGAATGAAGTAGATTTATAAATATGTATGTATAAAAAGTATTAATATTTTTTTTTTAGACAATAGTAAATGCACCCTTAAGCATTTCAATATACTCCTCAGCACCATTTCCATTGGCCTCCTTATAGTATGGAAGCTCACTGAGACGGTCCAGCCAGGCGGTAATCTTCGGATACTTCTCCGGATCGATGCTCACCATGGCAGGCAAAGAAGATGCTGTAGCGGCACAGCAGAAATCGGCAATTGTCACAGTATCGCCAGTCAAATAACGACTGTCACCCAGAAAGGTTTCCAGATGACCATAAGCATCGATAATGTTGTCAATCTTCTCCTGGGGCACTGTCGTGACCTTCTTATGGAAATATGGCGCACATATGTTCCTCAACGACATAAATAGAACACTGGCATCAAAATACAAGCGCTGCTCCAGCTTAGCTCTTTTCACTAGATCCTTCGGATAGAGATCGTCCGATTTTCCATACTTATCCACCAGATAGCAACAGATAGCATGAGAGTCCCATATTAAGGTACCGTCGTCATCCAAGAGGGGCACCGTGTGCTGCGGATTCTTCTGCATGAATTCATCAGTTCTATGCTCGCCACTCAACAGATCAACGATTTTATATTGAAAGGGCACATCGAGCGCACGCAGGGTCAGAAGACAGGCACGCACTGGGGGACTTATGTCCATGCCGTAGAGCACCAATTTCGACATACTTAAATTCAACTCTGAACACAGACAAGAGAAAAAGCAACTATTTAATCGGGGCGTATCCGGCAACTGCATAGAGCTGTTCGACTTCTAGGGCTTCATATATGCAGCTCGAGCTTTTTATAGAGCTCTTGAGCCGGCGATACATTCTGAGTAAAAAGCTCATTCTATAAATTGATGAATGTAAACAGAATTTTTCTCGGTGCTCAAATTTCTTTAATTCGAAGCCCAGCTGCAAAGCCGCATTTAATAAACTTTTTCAGTATAATGCAGCTTAGTATAAACACACTTGTGCACTTTAGTTTCTCTAAACAATTTCGTTACAATTTGTGGCACCTTATCTGTTGATGTAATTTTCAAACAAACGATATAGATAAGCCAATCAAGCAAGGCAGGTAAAATAAATATTATCTTAATACGCGTATCATACACAGTATACAGTTGTTAATTACATACTTATATATAAGACAAGCAGACATTGAGTATTTACTATCGAAACTGTTTATTAGTTTATGCTAAAAATCTGCAATCTCGAAACGCATTATTTACTTGCATTTAAAAATGAATAATTGCGCGCTTTACTTGGCCAGTGTTGCTAAATGCTAAATTAGCAGTACTGCATAATGTCACCAACTAGCACACACCTGCAAGCAGCGAAACAGACAAAAAAAGACTGAGATGAGACGATGAAATACCCTGCACTAAGTGAAGCCTCAATGCTGTCATATAGATATTTGATATACTTTAAAGCGTTTTTCTACCATTAAACAATTGTAAAATAATTAAAGTAAAAGAAATCTGTTATTATCGGCAAAGAAACTCGCATTTAAGTTGCTTCTACTTGGACAAATTACCAAATCTCTATTGAATCAATATACCCCACAGCGCAATGTTGACAGGGCACAACAACACACAGTCTTTGTGCAACGCATTTTCCTTACTATCAACGAATTAAAACAGAAAATTAAACATTTTCCATGCCAAACACTAAATAATTGCACAACCACCGCAACCATCGGACGCTCACGGAGCCGCAACGTTTCGTGGCTGGACAGAAAGACGAAATGACGGCACGGAATCCCCAAACACTGATGGCACTGCCCAACGAAGAGAATTTCGACTTCCTCTTCAAAATTGTGCTCATCGGGGACTGTTGCACGGGCAAGACATCAATACTGCAGCGCTTCAAGACGGGCAACTATGTGGAGCGGCACGGGAACACCATTGGCGTCGACTTCTCAATGAAAACCATTGAAGTCGAGGGCAAGCAAGTCAAGGTGAGACATCTGCGCAAATGCCAATGTCATATGAGCTATAATAATGCTGTCTGTGTTCTGGTACTTCCTCAAACTAGCTACAAATTTGGGATACCGCTGGACAGGAGCGATTTCGCACCATTACTCAGAGCTATTACCGTGCCAATAATGGTGTCATAATTGGTGAGTAAATGCCAAAAAATGCAGGTTGGAGTAGCTGATCGACTGGGAGATACCCTGGAATACTATATTAGTCAATAGATGTGATGGGTTGAAGCCAACTCTATAAATGTAAGGACCTACGGAAGAGCAGGATTCAGCAGTTTACATATATACATATATCTACCCTCTGCCACCTGTTATGTAAAACATAATACCCCTCTTTAGTCTGACTGACAAACACTAGGTAGCTAATGCCCCGGCAACTCTTATCATGACCTATTGATCCTATTGTCATGGCCCGTTCGCTGATAAGCGGAAGGCCGCACATATTTCTATTACTATCGAGTGCGCCGTGATTTTAATAGCATTCGCTTTGCCCCCTTATCAGCTGTGGAGAATGGTTGTTAAACACTTCTTTTTATGACAGTTTACGACATAACGAAACGTGCGACATTTGCCAATCTGCAAAAGTGGATCGAGGAGGTGCGGCGCTATACAGCCTCCAATGTGCTGATCATATTGATTGGCAACAAGTGCGACCTGGAATCCGAGCGCGAGGTGGACTTTGAGGAGGCGCGCCAAATGTGTCAGTATATACCTGAAATCCTATTCGTGATGGAAACGTCCGCCAAGGAGAACACAAACGTCGAAGATGCCTTTCGCTGTCTGGCCACGGAACTAAAGGTGGGTGTGACAGACATCAATTGAAATGCAGTTTGATTGACTTCTTATGCCTTCGCAGCGACAACACGATTCGAGCAACGTCCAGGCCTTGGATGAGAACACCGTGCAGCTGGGCCAGAGCAAACCGCTGAAGAGCTGCAGCAGCTCCTGCAATCTCACATAGACAACTCCATTTACCTATGATTTGGATTTTGATTTTATTTTTGTGATCAAATGTTCATGTGGCTATAATTTTTAGTATTTATACATTATATTTTATTTTGTTAATGTTTTGTATGTCTTCTACTCGCTGAGACGAGTAACTAAAACTTAATTTATTCATTTAACATACATATCTATGTTTATATATATAACTGTATTTATTTTGGTGGCTAGAGTACAAAACAATTTCACACATCACATTACACAAACAACAACAACAAGAATAATAACAACGTCAACAACGTCAATTAGAATTCACGTTCTCTTCATTAGTTCTTCGATAACAGAGTAAATAAAATACGTCCAATTCTGTATTAAAAACAAAAACAAAAAACAAAAAAAAATCAAACATTTTCAGAAAATAAAAACTTGTTTATTTTATAAATTTATTGGAAGTTATTTAATTGGCTGCTTAGTTCGTAACATATACATACACATACATAATAATATAGATTTAATTTTATTGAGGGGCTTTCTTGACATAAGTGTGTGTGTGTGTGAAGCGTCTCTCCAAACAATTCTCTCTCTTTCCACCTTTCGCTTTCGCTTTCCCTCTCATTTCGCTTTCTCATTCGTATAATTAGTTATGTCTTTACATTTACAATTAATTATATAAAAAATTTATTTATTTGTCTAAATTAATTGTTTAACTATAAGCTAGTTGCGTCTGCATCTGCGTCTGTCTTTCTGTCTGTCATTTGTTTTTAATGCGCTGCGCAACCCACTCCAAGCCCTGATACAGTCCCTCGCCCGTTAGCGCACAACACGCCTGGATGTGCCACTGATGTTTCTTGATCGAGGTGAGATCCAATTGCCTGGAGATTTCCGCCGCTGACATCGATCCCTTCAGATCCTGTTTGTTGGCATAGACGAGCAGGCTGGCTTTACTCAAATCCTCGTGCTGCAGCATCCGATAGAGCTCCTCGCGCGTAACAGCCAAACGTTCGCGATCCGTCGAATCGATCACCATTATCACGAGCTCTGTGTTGGTGTAATATGTGCTCCACGCGGCCCGCAAGCTCTGCTGGCCACCCAAGTCCCAGACCAGGAAGTGTATGTTCCGCCAGACGACTTCCTCAACGTTGGAGCCAATCGTGGGACTCGTGTGGACAACTTCGTTCATCAGAAACTGATACAATATTGTTGTCTTGCCCGCATTGTCGAGGCCAACCATTACCAGTTTGTGCTCCTCGTTGCCAAACATACGCCAGAGACGCGACAGTAATAGCCCCATCTCCAAATTATTGTTAGTTTGGGCGCGCGCGGGTGTCTATGTGTGTGTGTCCCTGCCTATGTGTGGAAGCGGACGTATTTGTTGTTAATTGGTGACAAAAAAAATCACACAATCGCAGGTATCGCAATCTATGCGCATATATGCATATGTATATATGCCCGTTTCACACTGTATGCGCGTGTGTGAGAGTGCGTCAATGTGTGCGTAAGCGTGTGGGTTGTCGTTCACGATGCCTTTGTTGTTGCGCAGCGGAAGGCCAACTGTAAATTATGCACTCACTCTCAGCTTGTCTGGTTCACGCACCACACAGCACGCTGCACCTTAGTGTTTCTTCAATTTGTTTTTCTTTATTTTATGGCTATTCTTAATCACTGGGCCCAAACACTTGTTGTTATTGTTATTATGTTATCACGTCGATTTAGGTAGGCTTTGCTTTAGTTTTTGTGTTGAAACAAAAATTGCTCACGATTTCAGCTAGATATGTGAACAGCATATCGATATATCGGCGATGCGATGTTACGATACTTCAGCATTGCCCTTTCGATATTTATGAGATATCGACACTGTTAATAACGAACTCTTTTAGTTGGTTCTAAAATTTAACATTGTTAAATTAGATCAATTTTGAAAGCTGACAAAATATATAATAAAACTTAACCAATATTTTCTAAGCATGCTAGTTCGAGTGATTCAAGTAATATTCGTTTCAATTAGGCTAATTCTATCTCTAAAAGAAGTTCCACTTGCCAATATTCAAAATTCATTCCAGACTATATTTCATATATAAAGGAATATTATCTCTTAAACACATTTTTATTTTTGAAACCATATTTTTACAGCTACAGCTTTTGACATTTTATGTGTGACTAAACTCCGAGCTGCTTCGAAAATATTTTCAAAAAAAAATTTTTTTATTTACTTATCGTTAATAAAATGAATGTCCTGGAAACCTTTCTTACGTGTTACCAGTTTCTTACTGATCCCATAACGGACCTCGACCTGGATCTGGAATTTAACGAGAAACTAGCCGAAAAATGTGAAGTGTTTTTGAAAGGGAAACAGACGACGAAGTCGTGTTTCGTAAATATAGACAAATATACCAAAAATGAGATTTGTATGATGGATGAAGCGTTGCCCACACCCAACGTAGATCACGTGATGGAGGTGGTCATCGATGGACTCATTGCCAACATGCTTTTTTAGTACAGCAAAAGATTCGTATATTTCAAAATTTGCAAAAAATTAATAGAGAGAAATTCATTGTATCAGATTTACAGAAAGGCAAAATGGCCCAAGTAACAATTGCATTAATAAACAAGATTTACATTTAAAGACTTAATAAATGTAGCAATAAAGAATAACTAAATATGGCTATATACAATACATCTAAAGATAATAAGGACAGATAAAATTTCTAGGATTTCCCGCTGGGTTTCTTGGACTTGGGCTTTCGAATATGCCGTTGAGTCTGTTTGCTGGGGGGCGCCAGCTCATAGCGGAAGATGATGCAGCGCCTGTCAAAGAAACTCTTGAGATCCTTGGGCTCGTAGCGATGGCCCAGCTGCTTGAAATATAGATAGATCTCCTGCAAGTCGATGGGCTCGTACATGAGTACACTTTCATGCAGGCTGGGATTGGCACAGAGCAGATTGTGCCAGGCTATGTGCAGAGGCAGCAGCGGCTGAGGCGTCTTCTTGGTGACATTCGTCTGCAGTATATAGTACTCGAATTCATCGCAGAGCGCCGGCGGCATAGTCTGGGAGAAGCGCAACAGCTCCGACCCGCAGGCATCTCGAAACTTGAGACTGGGCTGGAAGTCAGCGTCGGTGGGTGTGAGGCAATCAGTGCTGGCTGCTTGGAGCAGTCGGGCGTGGCCAGACTTGCCCCCTTTGCCGCCAGTCAGGGGCGTAGATTTGGAGCGGGGCAGTGGCACCTGCTGCGGCTCCTCTTCTAGAGGCAGCATAATAGGATGAGTCTGGTTATAGATATATTCCAGCAATTTGACGGCCTGTTTGCGTTTCAGTGGCTTTATGCCATACTTGTACAGCTGCTGCAGCAGCTCCGACTCGGTCATGAGCACAAAATCCGGCTTAGGTGACTGGCAGACGCGCACATTGTACACCTGACCATTTACCTCTAGTTGATCAGGAGCAGCTGGTGTGGCTACTGATTCAGTAGATTGGGCAGGCTCGGTTAAGGTCTCTGTGTTGATCTCGCCTAACAGCAACCGATCCAGGCCACTGGGCACATCATTGCTGACATCCTGATCGTCTTTCTGAAACACCAAGCGATCGAATTCATCGAAATCATCTGCCGATTCCGCGACTTCGTTGAGCAGCTCCTTAAATTTATTGGTGCTGCTGCTGGAGTGCGGTTTAATGCGCGACTCCGGCGGCGTGTCCAGAAAGGATGCATCCGTCCAGTCGTCAAGGGGTGCCTGCACTGAGTCAGTAATGGGCTGAGAGATGGCTGCATCCATGATGCCAAACTCGGCGCGTTCTTTGCTCAGTGCGCTCTTATTAGGGGAGCGCGATTTGTCGAAAGTCTCTATGCAGCCATCCAAATAGGCATCCAGGTCATCCATAGTCCTAAAGAACGGCACACTTTGCGTCTTTTTCAAAGGCGGACTGGGAGGGCTGTCATCGTCGCTGCTCTCACTGCTTGACTGCCGATCTGCTGCTTTGTCTGCCTTCCAAATCGAATAGTTGATTTCATCATCAGAGAGCAGCACTCCACCGTCATCATCATCATCCTTATCATTGTCATCGTCATCGCCGCTGTCTTGCGTTAAATCAATGCTTGCATTCGAGTGACTCAGCGGAGTTGTAAATGGCGAGATGGGTTTATCTATAAAGGAGTTGCTCCGACGGCTTAAGGGACTCTTGAAGCTGGCCTCCAGCTGTCCGGACGATTGCGTCAAGCTGAAGGCTAGTTTTGTGTTCTCCAACTGGCTAAAACTGAGTGTTGAGTCTGAAGCAGCAAGCGACGCTGCAGGGGAATTTATTTTCAAGGAATGATCCGTTGAGTCAGCTTTCGGCTGCCTCGACTGGCTCGCATATTTGGCATACAACTCCTCAGAGATCTCACAGGGCTCCGGCTGCTCACTCAATTCAACATCATCATCGAAGTCTATGATGGGACTTGGTGGAAAAATGTGCTGCTCGAAAAGAGATTTACTTGAGTGGGTTTCCATGGCGGCCTCCGATGAATCTGACTTCTGTGTTAAGTCCACAAAATTTTCTGTTGAGAAATGTCATATAAAAATTTAATTATGGTAATGCAGATTTACGGAAACAACTTACCTTCCACAGTTTCAGGCTCCGCCTCAACATCTTTTACAGTCTTCACTGAAACAGAGGCGATTTCATTATGAGTTCTCCTCCATTCAATTCCCTTTCCTTACCTTCGTCACTGGAGTAGACTTCGTAGCTATTCATGTCGGTGGTGCTTATATTCTTGTAGACCTTCAATGAAAAGTTTTGCATCTCGATAGCTGCGCTGCCTGTGGCCGACTCCTCCTCCTCATCATCCGAGTCCGCAAAGAGATCGGGTGAAGTGCAGCGCGTGCTTTGCGTGGGCAAAGTGAGCAGAGCTGATGAGCAGCTGGGCTGCCTGTTCTCCTTATCATTACTCAGCTCCTCAACTTGTGGCGTCATTCGGGCTCGTTTATCCGGCGGCTCCTTTAAAGGACTCGCAGCGCTTAATGTGATTTGCACTTGCTCCTCAGCCACCCCGCTCTGCTCCTGCACATCCTCTTCAATGACAACCTCAGTTTTTAAGGTCTCATCCTGCTCAGCAGGCTGACTAGTATCCTGTATCATATTGTCCACCACCAGTTTTTCCAGGTCATCCAATTCCCGCTGCTCAGCAGCCGCACCAAAATGCTCCTCCAGCTCTTTGTAGACCTGCTCCAATTGTTGCCTTCTGCGCTGGCTCGCGGCGCTTTCACGCTTCGGCGATAGATCCCGGCCAGGTATGGCCTCCCAGCTCTTTAGCAAATGATGCGCAGGTGTACGACTGACTTCCATTAGGTCCTGTACATAGTATGCAGGCAGATTTGTGAGAGGTTCCTCGCTTGGCTCATGGATGATGCGTTGCTCCGCTTTGACTTGCAACCGCTGCAGATACTTGCTGATCAGCTCGAATGGCAATTGCAGCTCTGGGCTCGGTAGCTTTGTGCGCACCTGTTGCTTCATTAGCGCATCCACCTTGGCCCGTAACTTCTTCAACTGCTCCTCCGGATTTCGTAAAGTGAGAGGCGTAAATTTGTTTGCCCATTTGCAGCGTTTGCCCTTGGGCACGGCAGCAAACGTGAGCACATTGTATTCTATAAGAAATAGTAAATTGACAGATTATTGAAGCATTCTTAGTGGTTCATTGACTCACCCTCCTTGGCAGCTGTGCGGAAGCCGTATTTTTGCAGCTTGCGCCTTATATTATCCGTTGACTGATTCGCTGCATCTTCAATTAGGTTAACCACTTCCTCCCGCTCGTCCTCCGTGTCCTGTAGTCGAAGTCTTCCATGCTTCTCTGCCTCCGATTTGGACAAGGCCAGCGCCATTTCAATGTCATCGGGACTAAAGTTGTCGGCAATGCAATGCTGTGCCGTCACCTCCGAGAAGAGCTGTTCGTTGCGCAGGAAGTCGCTTATGGTAGGCTGCTTACTCCGTCCGCCTCCGCGAGCTTTTTTCTGAGTTGTCGCACTTTTCAGCTTGGGCGCCTTCTTGGGCTTGGGCACAGCAGTGGGCGCATCCTGACGGCTGGCACGCGTCTTCTTCCTACTGGGCTCGGCAAAGAGTTGCTCCTGCTCCTCGGACTGAGCTGCTGCAGCATTGCTCGAGCTCTCAGCTTGATCGAAGTACTCGGACAAAGTCAGGGGCACGCTGCTTGCTTTCCTGGAGCTTAAAGTAGTAAAGGAAACAAGAACTTTAGTATGACTAGAACATTTTATTAGTAAACTGAAGCACAACTAATAAAAGTTTCATTGGCCGACCTACCGCTGCTTGGAGTTCGCGGTTTGGAGTTTTTGAAAGTTTGCTCGTCGAGTTTCTCTGTCCATTTTGTGTTTTTGCTACTTATTTCTATTATCTTGTTAACGTTCCGTGCGTAAATGCTCGGCCTCCTCGATGGCCTCTCGGATGAACTGGCTAGGACGTGGCGCAGCAAAGTCGAACAAGGCCTTACGCTCCTTCTCCAGGTCGGTGGGTGTGAGTACCTTGAGCAACCTTTCGTTGGCTATGCGCTGCATGGGCGTCAGACTGGAAAGTAGGTTGCAAGTAAATCAACAATGCAGCGCAGTGCGTTCTAGTCATCTACTTACGTCCAAAGCCCGAAAAGCAATGTGCCGGCTGCCAGAAACGCGTAGGCAAAACGATTGCGATAATGGAAGGAAGGTGTTCCTTGTGTGCGTCGAGGCTTGCGCTTGCTAGTATCAATAGATGCCATTACCGTGCTGCCGAGCTGAGTTTTCGTAGCGTGTTTATATAATTATATAATTAAATACATTTTATGCGCGCAACAATAAAGCGCCTAAACATGCAAATGATGGAACTTCTACGCTAACCAGGGCTGCACAACAAATGAACTTGGAGTCACAAGTTAAATGCTAAATTATAGATTCACAAGCTGACAATTGCTACACATGCAATTAATGATATTATATAAATCAACAAATTAAAAATTTTGTATATTATGCTTGGAGAACTAATGAGTTTTTAATAACAACATATGTTTATTTATGAAATACTTGCTGTGCAGCCCTGGCTCAAAACTACTCGGTAACTGTAACGATTACATTCACTTCCTAAGTAATTAACGTTAATTAGCGCACAGCGTAGGAGAGAATTGAAAATCGAGTTTAGTTTTATTTGAACGCTAATAACGTTCAGGTGCATAACATTCAGTGATTCTCGAATGAAGTGCGCCGTGTGTGTTATAAAGCATAGAATTAATTAATGTAAGTGCAGCAGTAAATAAGTGATAAGAAAATGTAACAAGAACTAATGCGTAAACTACTACGCAGGCAATAATCAGCATCCAAACTATAGACAAAGAGAAGAGTACAGAGTACAGCGAAAACAATATAAACGAATGCGATAACAATGTGAAACAGACAAAGCAAAAGAGTTGAAAAATACAAGACACACACACAACTGCAAATAAAATTGTCTGCTTGTGTATGTGGGTGCGTGTGTATGAGTGTGTGTTAGAGAGTGGAACCAGATTCAACGGCATTTTTATACACTGCAAAAAGAGAATAGTGCTGAATATGAAATGAAGCATATAACGCATCCGATATTTAATCATTATTAATGTCTCATTTTATAAATTAAAGTCAAATAAATAATAATATTAAAGTATTATTACTAAAATAAATAGCTTTAATTGATATAATTGAATATGAAGTAGATTTTAATGTGCAGAGGCTGCTTTGTCATGTCTGTTAGGGTATTTGGCCTTCGATCTCATAGTGATTTTTTCTGTTTTCTTTTGCAGAAATCAGCGAATAACGAAAACAAATTTCGATATCATTTATTTTGTTTTTGTTGAGCAAAAAAACGCCCTTTTGTGCTAGTCAGAGTCGGATAACTTTGTATCCATTCAGTGCAATTTTGTCCAGCGGGCCGCTTAGTCATGGCTCGAGACGACGAGGATCCCATCGTGGGCAGAGAGGAGGGGGCCGCCAATGAGGAGACACCGAGCACGGATCGCCGAAGTCAGGATAATGAGTTGGCTCTGCCCTCGGGCGGCTGCTGCATGCCAACGAGCACCTGCCATCGCTTCCAGGCGCTCGTCTTTATGTGCCTGCTCGGCTTCGGGTCGTATTTCTGCTACGATAATCCGGGCGCCTTGCAGTCGGTGTTCAAGAAGGAGCTGGATCTGAGTGCGACGCAGTTTACGCTCATCTACTCGATCTACTCGTGGCCCAATGTTGTGCTCTGCTTCGTGGGAGGATTCCTGATTGATCGCCTGTTCGGCATTCGTCTGGGCACGATTATCTACATGCTCATCCTGCTGGTGGGTCAGCTGATCTTTGCCAGCGGAGCGCTGTTGGACACCTTTTGGCTGATGATCCTTGGCCGCTTCATCTTCGGCATCGGCGCCGAGTCGCTGGCCGTCGCCCAGAACAGCTATGCGGTGCTCTGGTTCAAGGGAAAGGAGTTGAACATGGTGTTCGGCCTGCAGCTCTCGGTGGCCCGCTTTGGCAGCACCGTTAACTTCTGGGTCATGCAGCCGATCTACAACTACGTGAGCGAGTTCTATCAGGGATATCGCGCTCTTGGCGTCGTCCTGCTGCTGGCCACGATCACCTGCGTCATGTCCCTGATCTGTGCCCTCGTGCTCGGCTGGATGGACAAGCGGGCGGAGCGGATTATGCAGCGCAACAACAACCCCTCCGGCGAAATACCCAAGCTCACGGACGTCTTCACATTCAAGGCGCCCTACTGGATGGTCTCGATCATCTGTGTCGCCTACTATGTGGCCATCTTTCCGTTCATTGCTCTCGGCCAGAAGTTCTTCATGGATCGCTTTGGCTACACGGCGGCGCAGGCCAACACCGTCGACTCGCTGGTCTACCTGATTGCTGCAGTCTCCTCGCCGATCTTCGGCTTCATCATCGACAAGCTGGGTCGCAATGTCACCTGGGTGATGTTGGCCACGCTAACCACAATTGGAGCACATGTGCTGCTCACCTTTACCCAAGTGACGCCCTATGTGGGCATGATTACCATGGGCCTATCGTACTCCATGCTGGCTGCCAGCCTCTGGCCCTTGGTGGCCCTCATCATACCCGAATATCAGCTGGGCACCGCGTACGGCTTCTGTCAGTCCGTGCAGAATCTCGGCCTGGCTGTCATCACCATCGTGGCCGGCATCATAGCCGACCAGAGCAAGAACGACCACACCTGGGTGCAGCTCTTCTTCATGGGCTGGCTGACGATCGCCCTAATCGCCACCAGCGTCATCTGGGCCTACGACAAGAAGCATCGCGGCAATCTCAACATGAGCCCGGCTCAGCGGGCGACGTATGTCAATTCGGCCAACTATCAGAACTTTGAATAGGGAACTACAATGAGCCAGCATCGTGTGTACGAAAATTCTGCTTTATTATGGAATTCTATAGTTAAAGGCCCCGAAATGCGGGTCCGGAAACATTTTAACGAACTATGTGAAAAGACGGGTCTACGATTGATCTTTGATAATGTGATGAGCGAACAATGTATCGCTAGGTATTTACTGAATTGGAATTGTTTGTCTAAAAGTACACACACCCACACACACACAGATATACATATTATATATATATATTAATGAATTACATTTATGTATTTTTAGAACAATTTATTATTAATACAATTACTGCATGTTAATCTTTTGTGTACATGTTTTACAAATTTTTAAATAAATCAAATCTCTGTTTAAGTCCAAATGTTTAACAATAAATCATTGATATTCCATTAAATGTCTTTTGAATTCAATAGGCCTTACACTCCCCTATTGTATGGCAATAAAGATATATGTATATGTGTTGATCAAGATATATATTGTTTTTCTTGCATTGGCTTACTTACTGGGAAATGCTGGAGCATAGTGTAGTACATACCATATAGAGGTGTTTGGGAATGTTTACGAGGAAATTGGAGCGTAGTTTGTGGAGGGAGTATATTTACACATACATATATATGTATATATACGTACAGAAGTCTGGTCACCCAAAGTCCACATTAGTCATTCGAATGCTAGATGATAAAGCTCATTTGACTGATTGCTCCTATTAGAAATGTGAGTTATAGCAGACTATATAGTATACTAAAGGCTATAGTATCTATAGCAAGTATAGTCAAGATTGCAATTGTTGAATCAGGTCAGCATAGCTTGAATAATAAAGTTTTCCATTAACTTTCCAGTGTTGACCGATAATGTCTCTTTAAGAAACTAAGAGAAGACTATAAATATAAGATAAATACGTTACTGATAGCTAGGCTATAGAACTATAGAACACTACTTCCTAGTTTGATTCGAGCATATTGAGAGATTAAAGAGGGATTGCAATTAAGAGTATATAGTGTATATTGAGAGATTGAGATTAAAGAGCATATAATCTAATCTCTCTCAAGACGTTTTTTAAGCGAACACTCGACGAATCTGCTTAGGGTTCAGCCTGAAGTTCTCATTTTAAAACTTCTTAGATATATAAAGCTATACTTTTACAGCTTATAATACGCTCTACTATTTCTATAGTCAACTGACAAACATTGGAATTAGCTTCACAGTAGCTTTATCAATTCCTTTAGAAAACAAATTAAAACTTATTCATAGAGAAATTTGAAATGCTCTACAGTTATACGAGGCTTTTATGCTAGTGCTAACAGTGCTAATTCAATATGTAATTGCCTTATCTGTGAGTCAACCCACATTTTAGGCACTGCCCGAATCGATCAGAATGCTTTGCTTTTCGTACAGTAAAAGTTCCACGTTTGCTTTATTTAAAACATTTTAATGTCTGTCCGTCGCTCGAGCACCTCGATGCACTGTCTGCTGTCCAGGCCGAGCACGCGTAGTTCATGCAGTGGCTTCGTCTTCTCCTCCGCCGTCTGCCCGCCGCGCAGAGTCTCGAGCAGCAGCAGAGCTGTGCCCCTCGCCGCTGTCAGCAATTTGCAAGCGTCATGAATGCTGAAATATAATCATATAATGAGTTTGGTAAATATGATATTTAGCTAGAGCATTGAAGCGCTCTGCCATGACTCACCGCTTGAAGAGCAGCTCGGGTCGTCGTGTGTATTGGCCGAAGAGCGCGAAGAGCAGCGTCATGTCGTAGTTGAACTGGGCAGCACCTGCCGTTGAGAACCTCGTATTTAATACCATGTCCTCCAGAATGAAGTCGTCGATCTGCTGGGCCATCAGACGCAGCGTCTGGTTGAACAAATTGGCGGACAGCTCGCGCTCCAGGTTGTGCAGGAGTGTGACTAGGACCTGGAACATTTCCCCGCCGCTGGGCGAGAGGATGAAGGGCTCGCGGCTGTTCTGCTCGGGCATGCTGGGCCAGCAGTCGTGGCGGTAGTTCATCGACTTCGCCTTCATCTCGTTCACGGCCTTGTTGGCCAGATTCTTCATCAGCTGGCGTGCCCAGTGCTCCAGCTCGGCGACGGGATGCTCGAACACCGAATTGATTTCGCTGGCATTTGGCCCGGCCAGCGCTGCATGCAAATGTAAATAATGCACATTCTCGCCCCACTCGCGCAGCACCATTATCAGATAGTTGATGGCATTCAGCACGGGCAGGCTGGCCACAGCTCCGCTGCTGTGCAGCTGAACGAGTCGCCGTCGAAAGCTGTCGATCAGCTCCAGCTGCAGCTGTAGGAATTGCAGCTGATGGCCGGGCTGTATGAGCGCATAGTAACGATCCTTGATGGCGTCCAGCAGGCGCATGAACTGATCGGCACATTTCGGTATCTTCAGATCATCCTCGAAGGTATTCGGATCTATCAGCTGAAACGGCGTCTCCGCCTGCAAGATCTGGTCCATTTTCTCTGCACAAACTGGGAAAGAACAATATATTAAAATATTTTTCCAAGTCTGGCCTCAATTCCATTTTACATCGCTCCTCCAGCGATATCCAGCGCAGCAGATACATGGGCTGTGTGAGCACGGAAATGGCGCTGGGAAAGCTGGCCGGATAGCCAAAGGTCTCGCGCAGCTCTGCCTCAAAGGCGAGCGTCTCATCCAGCAGATGAGCAAACAGATTCTCATCCTGCGCGATTTGCTCAATGTCCACTGCCAGCTTTTCAATGGTCAGCTGCACCAGGCCGCGCATGAATTCCAGCTGGAATAGACAGTTCGATTAGTAAGGATTACAATTAGTTTGGGGATTAAATTTACTCTTAGATTGCAGTCCAATTTGCCCGCCTTCATGGCCGCTGGCTGGAACGTCTTGCCCACAAAGGAATGCGTTTGCTTGCCCCAGTTTAGGATCTGCGTGTAGAACCACTCGGGCTTGTCCAGTCGATTCGTTTGCCGCGTGCCTGTGAAGTGGAACATGAAGCGCTGGCGATACGGAGCCAGCAGCAGCTGCACCACCTTACTAATGGGCGGGCACACAATGCTGGACGTGATGCTCAGCATATTCTCATGCTCCTCCGCTGGGGATTTGATGAGGAACATATATTCGGCGAGCAGTTGTGCCTTGGCAGTGTCACGACTGGGGGAATAGCTGAGCGACTGCTGCTCCAGGTGCGCCCAGCGCATCGCCTTGAGCACAGCCTCAAACTCGCTGGAGAGACGCTGCAGCAGCAGCTTGTGCCAGTAGATGGCTGTGGCTTCAGCGTACGACTTCAGATAAGTTGCCTGCACCGACTGCAGTCGTCCCACCACGCTGTGCTCACAGTCGTTGCCTTCGTAGAGCGTCAGGTAGATGTTGACCAGCTTAGCCTCGTCCTTGCCATTGATGGCGGCTCCTAGCGCTGCGCTGATCTCTTGTATGTCTTGCACCAGGCGCAGATATTGCGTCACATTCTGCAGCTGTCGCACCTGCTGTAGATCCTCTGCCACGCCATCCAGAGCCGGCTGACACTCCTTGAGCTTCTGTTTCAGCTTCGCACTGAACTGCGAAAGTTTCTCCAGCTCGAAGTCGATGCTTTCACAGACCTGTTGCTGGCATTGGAGCGCTGACTTGTAGCTGGACACGTTGAGTGGATCCTCATAGTTCAGCTGAAAGTCCAAAGCAATTATATATGCTGTAATTTTGAAATTTACACTTACGTTTTGGCTGATTGCTTGCAATCGTTGCTTGGATTCATCAACGAGCAGCGCAGCCCGATGCAGCTGATTGGCATCTTTGCCAATCTTTTCATTGAGGCGCGCTACAATGCGCTGTTCCAGTTCACTCAGCTTTCCGTGCATTGTGTGCGGTACATTCAAATAAAAATATAAAACATATAATTGGGCTATGAACACGTATAAAAATAATTGTTGATGCAGTCACTAATAAACCATGGCTGCAGTGCAGCTACTAATTTGAAAGAGTGAACTAGTTTAGGTAGTTCATGGAGAACTTTTTTAATTCCACCTGTGGCGCCAAATCTGAACTAGCAAAAAGAGCGACAATTATTTGAGCTAGTTCAATCACACAAGTGGCGCCAAATCGGAAGTGTTTAAACGAGTAACAATAATTTGACAAACTCAGTATGGGCTGAAGATTTTTGTATATGTTTCCCTTGAAGCTAAAACGTTCAGCATGGAAAAGAATTAGAATTACCAGTTGCAGTATTGATTAATGAGTAAGAGCGGGAGACCAAATTTTTTACATTCGGAGTTAAACTGAGATTCAACTACCTGCTGGAGTTGACCACAGTAAATTTGGTCTGCTCTCATTTAATTACCTGCTTCAGGCATAACTCATCGTCACAGATCTTAGTAGGCACGCTATACAAACTTGTTCTTCTTTCATATTCGACATTCCCCATTGAGTGCAATTGAAATTGAAAATACTATCGTATGAGCTAAATCTACTTGAGTGGTTTTAGTTCAAATGAAAACTATCTGTTGCAGGGCTGTAATTTTTATCGATAGCGATAGGCCGCGTGTTACCATCTGCAGTGAATGACATTTTTCAAACACAGCCGCCAGCAGGTGTTGCAGTTAGCGTCGCGTTGCATTAACTTTTTCGTCGGGCTGCGGAAAATTTGAAGTGAAAATGTTTACGCCAAGACAAAAGGGCCACACCCCAGGTGTTGCCAACTCGCCACACACACCGCTCAGTTTTAGTCGTGAGCTACGTCAGGTTTTGCAAGAGCGAAACCTTCTGACGGCCAAGTCGCGTAAGAAAGGTAAGCGAGAAAGGGGCGTGCCCAAGCCGAAGACAAAGGACGCCTTCTAATTAGTGCTGTTATCCCTGATCAGTGTGCTCCATGCTGGACAGCAGCTCAAGCAGTCCCATTGGCTCACCCAATCCGGAGGCAGGCAAACGCATCGGCTTCCGTCTGCAAGCAGTTCAGGAGATTATCACGTCGGAGAAGTCTTACTTAGAGCAGCTAGAGCTGCTCATGAAATACTTTGTGCGGCCGCTCAAGGAGCAGGCCATCATCGATGCCGCCAACCACACGGCACTCTTTGGCCAAATCGAGATGATTCACAATTTGAATGGAGAGTTCCTGCGCGAGCTGGAGGCCAACATGGAGAATGTGGCACATGCGTTCCTCAAGATGGCTCCGTTCTTTAAGCTCTACTCGGTCTATGCATTCGATTACCGAGGTGCATTGTTTATACTGCAAGATTTGATAAGCAAGAATCCAGTTTTTCGTAAATTTCTGGAGGAGAACGAGAGCCGTCCGGAGGTGCAGCGCAAGCTCAATTCATTGATGATTGTGCCCATACAGCGGGTGCCTCGCTACAAGCTGCTGCTGGAGCAGGTGCTGCTCTACACCAGTCCAGCCGACGCGGACTACAAGCTCCTGAAGGGTGAGTCAAGAATTAAACACAATTTCTGGGGAGGATTTCTCACGTTTCTTTTATAGAATCTGTCAAGGAGATCGAGGCGACGGCCTCGCACATTAACGCCTGCGTGGAGGAGCAGGAGATAACCCAGTATCTGATTCATCTGCAGAATTCTCTCGTCAATCGCACGCCCAACATCGTGAAGCCCTCGCGCCGCGTCATCAAGGAGGGCATGCTCTACAAGATCACGCACAAGGGCCAGCCCATCAAGCGCTACTGTGTGCTCATGTCGGACATCTTCATGTACTGCAAGGTGATCAAGGAGCGTGCGCCCAACACCCAGGTGGAGAACTCCCTCGAATGCTGCTGCATCTTTCCCCTGAAGAAGTGCAAAGTCTACGAGATGATGCCGGGAAACTTCAAGCTGAGCTGCCAGAGCGACGGCATCATCTTCGGCTGCGACGATCTGCAGGTGTCGCGCACCTGGGTGGGCTTCATACGGGATGCTATTGACTTGCATGTGCAGTGCCGCAAGACCCTGCGCAAGGACTCCAGCAAACGCACGCCCATCCGCAAGAAGGACATGAAGAAATTCGGCGCCGATTATGTACTGAGTCCCAACAAGCGCAAATGCGTGAGTAGCAAGGATCTCAGCTGTGATCCCTTCTGATTCTCCCTTCTTTGCAGGATTATGAGACTATTTTTCGCAACAAGAATCGCAGCACGGATTCGGATGAGGAAGCCCCCAATGAGTCACTGGGCAGTCGCAGCATTTGCTTTCCACGCAAGCGTAAGTATCCACAGCAGATGCCCCAGCCGTCTACATCCACTTTAAGCGTGACTGTCAAGCGTCCGGCGCCACCGCCGCCCACAGTGGAGCTGCGGCGCAAGGAGGAGCCGCCGTCCGCCAGCAAGGAGAATCGCATCTCCAAGCTGTACAAAATGATTGCCACCGGCGACAAGGCCAACAATCTGCGTGGCATCTTGAAGCGCAGCAAACCGACCAACAACCAGCCGCTTGACGCGGATCCCAGTTACGGCTTCGCCAGCCGCTACTCCGATTCCAAGTCATACTTCCGTGCGCACAACGTGGACAACACCATACCCACGGCCATCAAGCGCGAGGATCTGTTCGATGTGGACCTTGGCAATGGAAACTTTCGGGATGTGCTCTTTCCATTGCGCTCCAGTGGAGGCAGCCAAAAGAGTGGCGGAGTCGGAGTCGGAGGTGGAGGCGGCGGTTGGACCACACCTGAGCAGACTCTCAGATCAGCCGAGGAGGACGCCTTGTATGCAGTTCCACAGAAGAAGCGGGTCAAGTTCGATGATGCGCTAGATGCGTATGAGCAGAAGCCATTCGTCTTCCCCAGCAGTGGAAGCAATGCAGAGGCTATCAAAGCCCCATCGCTACGCGAGCGTATTTATGACTTTTTTGCCAATCTCTTCTAGAATTAGAATATATTGTAATTTATCGCACCACTCATTCAATCCACAATAAAAGCATTTACTACATCAGCACGCGCCTCGCAGCTCTCTGACTCGGCTCATGAATCCCTCCAAGGCCCGCTCGTCGATCTCCTGCTGCCAGTCGCCGTCGCGCTTGAAGTGGGAGCCAATGATGGCAGCTTGGGCATCTGGGAAATATTGACTTATGTTGTCCCTGGTTACGCCCGAGCCTATTATGAGTGGCACCTTTAGCTGGCCGGCTAGCTCCTGGACATCTGCGGGACTAGCTGCCTGGCCTGTTGCCGTGCCCGTGACGATGATTCCGTCCGTGAGAAAGAATTCCGCCGCATGAGCCGTTTCCAGCAGGTTGACGTCTGCTGTTATGGCATGCGAGCTGTGCTTCTTCTTCAGATCCGTAAATATGAGCACATCCTCCGCATCGATCTGCCTGCGATAGCGCAGCAGCTCGCCGGCGCAGGCGTCCGTGTAGCCCTCATCGGCCACGTGGCCGAAGACAAAGCCTTCGGCGCGTATGAATTGCAGCTGGCAGGCCTTGGCTATGGCCAGCGATTGCTTGTTGCCACAGGCGAGCACCTGCACGCCGCAAGGCGTCTGCTTGGGCAGAATATCGCGCACGGCCAGCGACAGTCGCGTCATGCACGAAACAATCTCAGCGCCAAGGTGACGATCCTGCACGTAGGGTATATCGTGCATATTCTCGATGAGCACGGCATCCTGCACGATATTATACACCAAATTACTTTCTTGCATACATATTATCACTCTTGGACTACCATTTGCTGTCTCCTGTACAGCTCCGCCTCGTGTTTGGCCTTCTCAATAGTCTGATTCCAGTTGCCGGCATAGCGAGGAGTGCCTTAATTTGAATATTTGCTGTATTAAAATAGTTGCTTTGAAAAATTTTTATTTCGACATTTACCTGGCAATGCATCCACATGTATCATGCCAATTATTTTGCATTTTTCTTTACCAAATACGCTAACAAATCGCCGCATTATCAAATTAAAAATATGCTTACAAAATATATAAACAACAATAGAGATGAGCAAAGTCGCATCAGCTGTTCTTAACACATTTCCCAACACTGATTTACTGCAACCTGTTGAGTCAGGGCTGCCAGCTGTTAAGGCAGCAGGCTAAAATGTTAAATAAAATGTTGGAGTAGCGGACTAGTGTATTTCCTCCAAGTCCTTAATTCTCACATCACTTCACCTCACTTTACTTCACTTCACTTTACTGCACTGCTCGACTGACCCCCATCGGGCCTGGGTGACTGAAGAAATGCTGTGGGTGTTGCCCATTATATAGACCGACTCTCACTCACACACGGAGATGCGCTCAACCGATGAGCCCGACGACAGGTAGCGATCGTTGCAGTCGACCTTTAGGGGACCAATGCTGCTCTCTCTGCTGCTTCGGGCATGCTAGCTTCGTTTTTCTCAAATATAAATACCGAAGAGTATTTCTGCACACATACAGACAACTTAAATGATCTATCGTGTGTCGTCGTATTCTTCGTTGCTTCCTCATAAGCTAATAGACTGAGAGACAGACGGAGTGACGACTGTGCAGACATACATACGAACAGATATATATATATATATATATATATATATATATACATATATATGATATGGGCAATCAAATAGATTCTGCCCTGTGATTTTAAATATGCATACTTTTCTTCTAACACTTTATTATTAAAATTTAAGTATAAGTAAATTTATTAAAATATTTATTTATATGGATATTGATCCCTCCAAATAAATTCATTTGCCAAACCTCTCCAAATTAATTAATTTGCCAAGTGGCAACCATATCATTGTGCAGTGATGCCCACTCGTTAGCAGAGATCAGTCAGCCGCGGCCATTTTCATAGTGAGCACCATTTTTTCTGTGCCAGTGCAGTTTTACAATTTAAAAGTCAGCAACGGATTTTTAATCCGCGGTGCATGCTCTAATCCCCAACATGCGCGTCACGTAAGTAACTGCGCTTTGTTCTTGTGCTTTTATGTTGTGCTAACACTAAGAAATGCGTCTAATGGCTGTCCATTAAAAAAGGGCGCCGCATGGAAGGCCATCACAATTCGCGACGTCCTGCTAAAACAAAAGGCAAAGGCTTATCACGGCCACAGGACGTCATGGAAACAACGGCGGCCAGGAAAAGCATTGGCAGCTGTTTGGAAATTGCGAAATGAACAGGCTGCGCGCTTTGTTAGCATTGCGTTAGCTACTCCGTGAAAAGTTCCTAAAGCGGGTTATGTTGAATTTCGCATGAATGCATGTAAGCTGCGGACAGGTGGCAGCGCCATAAGCTTTGGTTGATCTGCGTGTTGTCGCGTGACTGGCTAGAGAGGGATAGAAACACACTTTTGGATATCGATATATAACGATGCATGCTGATCCTTGAAATATATCGATATATTCTAAAACATCGCCTCGGTATGCCTAAAATACATTTTTGGTATTGTATTTTAAATTACCATTTACAGGGTATGCACTTAGTAGTCACGCCTAATGCTCAGTTGTTGTTATGCGCCCCTTGTTACATTGTTTGAAATTGTGGCGCGCATTGTCCTTGAGTTTGATTTGCTTTTGTGCCAGATCGGGGGAGCTTGCCTCGCTGGCTAACTGGGCGGCTGGCTGGGTTTTGGTTTTAGGTTTGGCGCTGGTGTTGGCCGTGCCTATGTCTGATTGCCTGTGCTTAGCGGAAACGGCAACGGTACTCGCTGTGCGCAGCGCGCCATTTCAATTACCACGCCCCATAGCGCCTCCAACAAAAAAATAAATAACTATACAGCATCCCATTTGGGCACGGCATTCGCAATGGCATCCGGTATTTTCATTTGTTTGCTCTGCTCTTGCATTGTTTTTGCTTGCTGCGCACACGTATGTTTTGTGCATGTTAACAATTGGGCTTTGTTTTGTTTTGTTTTGTTTTACAATATGTAAAAGTGCTTATGGCCTTTGTTCTACTCCTCTGATTGAAGCACTGCTGCGGGTCCTTTCATGCGAGAGGCAAAACCAACGATTTATTATTTGCAAAATGCACAAGCAATTAAACGAATTTAATTGAATTATGAATTGCTGATTGGATTGTGGCCTGTGAGTGAGTTGACCAAAAGCTAATGTATCGAAGGCTAAACAAATATTTGCTTTTATATTAAGTTAACTTGTCTGGGCAAAACTTTAGTTTCCAATGTTGAAAGTTTAAATTGCAATTTTCTTGCAAACTTTTAGGTATTTTTCAAGGATTCTGAAAGCAGCATGCGAAACGAAATGAATTTTTGTACACCTGCTCAGCAAACAACATAAATTATTTATAACGTGTGCTGAGCGCCACACTCGACACCTCGGCCTTGCCTTTGTTGCACACACATGCACACACACACACATGCACACAGGCACACACACATGCACATATAATGCTCAGTTGTTGTAGTTGCAACAAGTTGTTTCCGTTGCTTGCTTTTGCGATTATGCAAGACACACACTTACACACGCTTAAACACACACACACATAGAGACTGAGAGCATATAACGCAATTATGTGTCTGTGTGTGCTGCATTGAAAGACAAACAGCATAGACAGCATATCCTTTGAGCAAGCAACAGTTACTCCAAGTTCCGCTTTACAAGCATTTTCCACCCAGTTGGCACTTTTTTGTATGCCAGCTAATTAGCTGCCCATAACTTTGGCCAACATAATCAGCAGCATAAACAAGTTTTTACACTGCAATAAATTATTTATGATACTTAAAGAATTACGTATGAGGACGAGGTTGAAGTACACCCAATAGAAAAATTAATCTGTAAGAATTTATAGTATTCAACAAATAGAATTCACAATCCAAAAACATGATCTCTCTCAATCAAACATTGCCCAAAGCCAATATACTCCATTCACTTCGTGAACGAGTGTGAAAAGTATTTGGGTTTATAAAGCAAATAGATGGGAGCTGAATGAGTTTAAAGGCTTAGCAGCTGCGAGCTGGCCGTTAATAGAGTGTTTGCTGTATTTGCATAGGCAGCAATACCTACCTTCACACATACACATACACATGCACACATATTTATGTTTGTAAATATTTGGCATATAATCACTTTAGCTTTTAGCCTACTGAATAATTCTGCGCCCAACTTTCTGGCTAATTGAAAAGTTATCAAACTGGCAGCTGTCAGCTGCAGCCTTGACTCCCCGAGCACAGAGGTCAATCTGCAACGTGCCACACACTTCCCCTCTCCCTCTCGCTCTCTCACTCCCCCTCTCACTCTCGCTTTCTGTTGCTTGCTGCCTCATTAAATCAAATGTTCACACTTTGAGAATTTTTTTTATTAATTGGATTTGGCTCGATTTTGCCATATTGCGACATTGATTTCAAATTAATATATTACTCATGCGCCGCGTTGAACGCGTGATAAATTTACCATTTTATTTGGCATTCTTCGAGCGGTCGCAGCTTTTTTATATGTGTTGCGCGAATGCAATTAGTCAATAAATTTCAATGAAAATTACCAATGGCCATGCAAATGGCATAAACTGGTTGACAAAATGGATTCGCGTGTTGCTCTATCTCTGACCATAATTTCTGGCTGCCAAACTACAGCGCATCGATCATCGTTTACACTATGTGTGTTGGTGTGTGTGTGTGTCTGTGTGTCATAGACCTGCACGCAAAGCCCGTAACACAGAATTTCAAATTGGAAAATGGAAAAACGTTGCAAACATGCCTAGTCAGCCCAGCTGAATACCTGGACGAAAGACCGAATACACATGCAATTTGATTAGCTGCAAACATGAGCAGTAATCGAACCGCCTTTTCAGGTGTGGCAAGGCCTATTCAATGAAAGCTTTGTTATAACTGAATGCTTGATTATAGGTCAGAGAGAGAGAGAGAGAGAGAGATAGAGAGGTGTATATATGTAGTTGAATATATATAGGTAAATTATTTGTTTTTCAGCTTAAGCTTCTTTGGCTTTGTAAAGTTTTTGGCTGAATGCTTGTAATTCGTCTGGCTGTGGCAGCTGAAGTGAACCCATCTTGAATCAACTGACAGCTGCGAATTTCACACTTTTGTACCATTTGCATACCCTGTACTTATGGGATGTGGGTAGGTTGAATTAGAGCTGAAATGAATTCTGCTTGAAGCCAAGTACAACTAGGAATTTTGCACTTTATGGATTGTATTGATAATATTGATATGGCCTATAGCTGTTAGAAGTGGCTATACTAAGTTGTACTTACAGAGTATTTGTCTAGTAAGCTACTCTCATCTAGCAAACTCTTTTTATTTTTTTTTATCTCTTGCTTTGCTTTGAGACTTTTTTATGGCATTCAATAAGTTAGCTTGCACCGTTGCTTAATTGATTTACGTGACAAAACTTGGCAGACAAAGGCAAAGAAGAAATGAATTAAAAAAAAAAAAAGCGAAAAGCGGATTGATTGGAAAAAATTCCCAAAAAGGTTAAATGAAAATGATAAATACAAATAGTCTATAGAAAAGACAAGGAATCTATATTGTTGAATATATTGCAAAGGTTGCACAAGTCTCAAGTGAAAGTGGACTAAATAAATGAAAAATATCACGCATACGCCACGTGCGCAGCACAGTTAGCTGCAGTGCTGCGAAGTCAAATAAATTACTCAATTCCCAGAGACCAGGTTGGCCGATGGCTCAGTAAATAAAGCAATAATATGGCCAACGAAAATTCAACTAAAACTTGAACTTTAATTAAACTACGCCACAGACAACAGCAGCAACAACAACAACAACAACAACAACAACAACAACAACAGCAACAGCAGCAACAACCATAGCTAAAAACGTAACTCAAGGCAACGTCTTCGTGACCGTAGCTCAGGTGCAAATGCGGTCACACCCTTGAAAGCAGGCCACAGCAAAAGTAACAGTAGACAAATAAACAACAACAACAGCAACAAGGATAGCAACAAAAACAATAACGAATGTATTAAAGTCATTTCAGCGACCTCAATTTTGGGGCGTGGGCAGAGCTATTCGTATCGAGCCGCTTTATCGCGACTGTCACATTAAAAGTCTGCGCACTAAACTATGCTACACTTTTTTTCTCTTACTGTTATTTCGCCTAATTAGTGCTGCCAGCGTGAGCACAAAGGGTGACCATATATGCTAAATGCTAAACGCCTACACGAAACCATTTATATTCATATTATAAACAAATTGCTTCAATTAGACGCCACTCAAGCCAAAATTACAGCCAAGCTATAAAGATCTATGGGCAATGCCACTCGAGTACTTGGAAAACATATAGAAACCATTAAAAATATGTTAGTTCGTTGCTGTTAGATTTCTATGGCTGTGCGCTTGGCATTTATAGGTCAGTTAAGGCAACTTTTTCTTACTTATAGAGTATAAACAAATTATAAAGCTTTTGCTGCCCTCAAGTGGCACTTTTAGTTTTAGTTCAGTTTTTTATTAAACACTTTTCTTGTGCTTCAACTCAGCTCTGGCTTTGGCCTATGCTAATAACACTTGCAGTCGCTGCTCATTTTGAGTTCACTTTTTATTTAAACTTTTTGTTGTTGTTGTTGTTGTTGTTGTTTTTTAGTTTAATTTTCACGCGCGCATCGCTGAGCCGTGGCGAAGCGTTTAAACTTTGACCTGCTTTATTTATGTGTGCTCAGGTGTGCTGCGATAATGGCCATAGCCGCAGCCAGCCCCACCACCACCACCGCCCTTCTTGTTGTTGTTGTTATTATTTTTATTTTCGTTTCTTTTTTTCGCAGCGTTTTTCGCTTTTGCGTGTCTGCGCAACATTGGCATTTGGCTTCGGTTTCTACCCAACGTTTTTTTTTCCGGTTTCAGTCCTGCTGTTCAGATTTGATTAGAGATTGCGTAAACCGAGTCGCAATGAAAACATAATTAGTAACTGTGATTTGTTTGCCACGAGGTGAAGCCCGAGCTTTAGCAATTGTGATTGCTGTTGTTGTTGTAGATAGCTGACATTCAGTTGTTTTGCATTTGCATTTCACCCCAGCCCGGCCTAGAGGGCTTATCAGCTTAGATGCCACCCGCTTCAGTTGCAGCCGTAGCATAAAATGCACTTAAGGACAGCCCGTGGAGTGTTCTGGCTGTGCTGGCTGTTGGCTCCTGTCGCAGGCACAAATTAAGTTGGCCCAGCTGCTGGATTATGTTTTTAATGAGGCACCAGGTTCTTGCTAAAGACTCTGATCTCTCTGATTAAGAGAAGGCAACATTTTACACTCAAAGAAAAATGTTTGACTGCTTGAATTTATTACGAAAATTCGGGCACATCAAATACAGAATTTTATTTATTATATACTTTTCTTTGAGTGTATGTGTGTGTGGGTGTATCGCTGTCTGCCTGTCAGCCAATCAAAGTTGTAAAGTTCACATCATTGACTGGGCTAAGTTGCTAACTGGGCCAACTCAAATTAAGAAAAGATAGCTCCAGCAAAAACTTTTATCATTTTCACAGTTACGTAGCGCTAGTTGAGAACTTCATCCGAGCATTCGTTCAGGCGGTTCAGTTTCAAGTACATTTCTCCTTTGAAATGTCGCCAAAAAGCAACAAAAAACAATAACAACGAGTGGCGCATGTTCAAATACCCTGTAGGTAATATATATATGGATAAGATAGGGTATAATGGCACAGAAAATTAAATGTATGAAGAGCTTAATTCATTTCTATATAAATTGATCGATACATATCGATATTTTAAACAGATATGTAGAAACTTAAATAGATAGGCGAATACATATATATAATAAGGTATCTCATAGCCAAGCATGCTTCTATAATATGATATATGTTCCATTTGTATGTATATATTTTGTGATTCATATCGATAAATATCGATTGATTTGACTATTGGCGTAAGCACAGCTCATATCGTATATATAGCTCGAGCATTTAAAGGGATTTGCTGGAGTGAATAAAATGTCATGGAAAAGAGAAATGTGCAGGGTATTTCCTAGTCAGACACTTCCCATTAGGAACACTCCCCCTTAGTTGTTTAGTTGCAGTTGCCTGGCAGCCGGGCTACAGGTTTGGCAGCTCACTGTCCAGTCAGTTGCACAGTGACAACAATGCCAATACGCACACCCACACACACACACGCTCACATAGACACACTCACACACAGTCACGCCCAGGCCGCTGCACGTACACACAATCAATCACAGTTAGTTGGGTGGCTGCTGGAGCGCGACATGTTGACAAGTAATTGGCAGCAAGCGAACATCATGGCATACGCCATACATACATACATACATACACAGCACGCCCTCATGCACTATGCAAATATGTGAGATCCAATTCCCTCAGTCTCAAACTCACTCTATGGCTATGCTGCCTATGCTGCTCTGATTGTTGTTGTCTCACGCTCAAAATGCGATAGCGCACAAAAAAAAGGGCACAAAGCCAATCAAGCGCAAGGAATGACTGCAAAATCTGTGGGCAAACCAAATGCCTTTAATGCCAGGCATGCCTCATTCGCTGTCGCAGCGTCTGCCACTGCCACGACCTTTGCCTTTGCCTCAGCCTCTGCTGCCTCGCTGCCGCTGCCAGCTGCTGCTCCCAGCTGAGCGCCGGGTACGTGAAGGCATGAAATTGGGTCACAAGGCGGGCAACAGAAGAAATGCGTAGCAAAAGAAACTCCTAACGGTGCGCGGCTCACATTGTAAATGCTCGCACACACCTACACATCTACACACAGAATCACAGAAAACGGTGTTTCATAAAGCGAACGCTGTAAACAAAACAAAACGACGCGAAAGTCGCGACTCGCGAGCTGCTGGACAGCAACATGTTAGCTGTGGTGGGCGATGTTTTAAGCGCTCGCACGACTCACATGGAACGAGCGCGTGAGAGCCGAAAAGCTCTCCTACTCTCTCTCTCTCTGGCACAGACACACTTACACGCATACACACGTATGCAAGTTTTACGTTCGAGTTTTTGCGTGGCTGTTGCTGCATAACCTTCATCTTGAACTTCAGGGCCAGGCATATGCTTGTGTGAGTGTGAGTGAGAGCGGGAGTGAGAGAGAGTGAGAGTGAGAGTCGAGTCAGATGCTCAACTGCTTTTACAATAAAAACAAATGCAACAGGAGGGTGTTCATTCATGAAAGCTCACACCCATTATAAATGAAGTGTACGTGTGTGTGTGTGAGAGTGAGTGAGTGTGTGGGAGCGTTAGATAAATGTAACTGTAACGAAAAAGAATGAAATGTGAAGTCGTAGATTAATGGGAATATGCTAAATGAACCAGAAATAATATGAATTATGAAATAAATAAATAATTCATCCCCTTATTGAAAACTGAAAATATTTGTATAACAAAATAAAAAAAAAAAAATACAAATATGAGGTAAAATATAAATATATAATATAAAATGCATAATAAATAATTATAAGTTATGCCACAAATTTAATAACTGTAATGCATACAAATATTCTATAAACAAAATAAAAGTAATATTAAACAAATAAAATAAAAATAAATAAATATTCGAATATAACCAAATATTTATAATAATTTAAATTTAACTTGAATGTTAATTGAAATAATAATAAATGATTTTGCTCATATTTTATAGGTATTTAATTTCTCTGTAATTTAAAAATATTTACTTAAAGATTTATATATTTTCAAATCTTCTTTCTAACAGCTAAAAACTCAACTTCTTCGCAAAGCTTGACACATAGAAAACATCGCCAAATGCGCTTCGACTTTCCAATAGCTCCGCTCTCTCTCGCGTGCTCGCTCTCTCAGTGTGCCACGGGCGCTCTCTTTCTCTCTGTGCCTGCTGCTCGGCAGACACACGCACACTGTGGCAGGTTCTTATCAAAGCAACAGCGAAAGCTGGAAGCAGACAGGCACACACAGAAGGCAGTCGGGAGTCGCATGTAAGGATAGCACGGGAGCGTCGCAGCGCCACGCACTTTATAAGGTGAAATACGAAACTGGAGCAGTTCAGTTCGCAGTTGGCTGGCGTCGCAGAAGGTTGCAAAAGGTGATAGCAAATGCATATGCAAATGCAAATGAAAATGAAAGCGGAGCAGTAGCCAAAAAAGAGATAAAGAAGTAGAAATCTATTCGAATCAACAGCTCCACAAAAGTTCGGACTGCATAAAGTGAGCAAACGAATGGGAATTGTGTGCGAGAGCAAAAGGAGTGAAAACAAGTGAAAGCTAATTGAAAATAAATTTAATTGCAGCAGCAGCTGTTGAGGCAGTTAAAAGTGTATTCAGTGTTAGCCTGGTTAAGTGCTTCAGCTGTTAGCTTGGCCAACAGCGCTGCTTGGGCCATGTGCATTTGCACATAATTGCAAACTGTTGCACGGTCTGCAATTTAAATATTTTTTATAGCCACAGCCATAAAATAGACGCCAGACACTGGCAACTGTTGCACACACACACACACACACACCCAAACACCCTTTAGCCATGGGTTTTACGATCATTTAGCCATGCCACATTAAATATGCCTTTAAATGTTTTTATCCTGCTGCAGCTGCTACACTCAAACGAAAGTATAACAAAACGAAAATCATAAAAAACGCCTCGAAAATTGCATTAAAATTCATTAAAAAAAAAACTATAATTTAATCGCGTTAAAAAAGCAACAACATCAATTGAATTTAAATAAATAAATGGGAATTGCCACATTGACAGGTGAGTCCTTGTTCAAAGCAATTAAGCTGTTAAATGTTATTGGCTTTATTAGAAATGCACTTTGCAAACATTTAGATTGTCAATACTTTCTACACTCGTTCACACACTGATGAGAGTATATTGGTTTTGTGTAACGTCTCGTTGTTGTCCTTTTCTGTGCTGAGATTGTAGGGAATCAACAACAGACTTACTTTTCAGCTCTGCTATTGGCTTATGATATATGTACATGCACCCCTAAGGGTAAATATATCATTGGGAAATCATAGGAACTGTAGATTGTGCAGATTGTTCTTCAGATTTACCTCTTGAGATGCCCTTCCTTTTTTTTTTATTCGCCGTGAGCGAGCATTGTGCCGTCGGCAGCGCCCGTCTGCAATATTCTGATGTTTTTTATTTATTTCTAATTTTTTTTCTAAATTTTTTTTTTAAATTTTTTTTTTTTTTGTATCGTAATTATTATTAAGCACATTTGTCATTAATTATTCAAAGCCCTTTGGGCATTGAGTTAATAGTTTTAATTAATGAAGAGTGTGGCTCACGCTATTTAAAGTTGGTCAATGCTAAATTGCTAGCTGAACTCGGTTTATATTAATAAATTATTGGATATATGTGAATTCGTCAATAGTAATAGTAGTGGGAATATTATATATCTGGCTGGGCTCCTGGCTCGCTGCGCTGAGCTACATACAGTTGATAAATAGAGTTTTCCACATCGTAGAACACAGATTTGATTTGAATTTCAGGGTCTTTCAATTATTCATTCAACATTTTGTATTGAGAGACAATTGGAAATGAATGTATTAGCCATAACTTTTTATTTGTTTAACGCAGCTGCCTCTTGCTCGTATCGCATTTATTCAGTATTCACATTCGCATTGAATATTCATAGTTTTTAGAATATACCATTATTATAAATTTATTCTAAACATGTAAGCACGTCGCATAATACTCGTTTATTGTTTATATATAAGGACATATGTAAATGCTTATATGGAATATGTTAACATTTACAATCAATAGACCATAGATGATAAATAGAATAAAGCTATTTATATGCAGAGGCAAAACTTATCTAGTAGAAGCCGATAGATTTAATTACAGGTAGAGCTTCAAAGGTTTATCACGCACAAAAAAGGCTATAGAGATATGGTTAGTTATATATGTTAGTTGTATGTGTTATATATTATGATCAGAGCGAAAAGATTACCTTTTCTATCTTTATAACTGAGACAAATATTTATTTTTTCGGTTTTTACGTTTATTTTGGACAAGCTTGACTTGAGATCTGTAGAAACTAGCTATTAAATTGTAATTTACGTGGTTTTCGATTCCTCAAGTTTTCAAAATGTCCAAGATTTATAGCGGTTATAGTTCTATATATAAATATATCAAAATTTAAGCTTCTAGCTTTGCATATAAGAACAAAGGCAGTTTACATTGTACATTTAAGAAAATTAAGTTGTAGAATTTTGCCCAAATATATATTGTGCCTATAAATTAAAACACATATATAGTATATCAATATAATTTCGTTTTTTTTTTGTATGTTTGTTGTCACAGTTTTATGAAGCAATAACAACAGCACACAGAAAAGAAAAAAAAAAAAAAAAAAAAAAATGAAATCAGGGCGGCATATATTTGTGCAAGTGATGAAAAGCAAATATGAGCGTTGTTTATAAAGGCCCCCAGATACCAGATAGTAAATAAATAATGTTTACTAAAAATATGCATAACTATGTATGTATGTATGTTTAATACAATACAACTCATATATATATATATATATATATAGCCATGCAATATTTTATTGTGCGCAGTTTTACAATCATTTCTGTTCTCTCTGTCTCTGAGAAATACGCAGCTGTTGCTCACAGATTGTAGCAACGAGCTATGGGAGGGGAATGGATGAGCTATAGCTATAAAATAATTAATTAAATGGCGAACTATGCAATATGCGACGCTTTGATCTGTCTGGGGTCTGTTGTTTTGTAATTAAATGGAGCAATATTGAAAAAATCCCAAGTTGCTAATCAGAAAAGAAAATACGCAAGACACCTGGCGTATGAGTGATATGGCAACGCGTATACGCCACGTGTCGGCTGCTCACACAAACAACAATTAGTGTGGCACAGCGCAAAGCGAGGCACAAATAATAAGATGAGAAAGTGGATAGATAAATAGAAAAAGGTAGAGAGTGAGAGTGAGAGAGAGGAGGGAGGCGGGGCTGGAGGGTGGGAAAGGGCAGCTTTGATAGGGACCTTCTGCCAAGGGTGCGGAAGGGTTTTCCCCAATGACGCGGAGCCGCGCCGCTTTCATGTCAACTTTGTTAATTAAATGAAGCACTTAACATCGGCGACATATTTTTTGGCTGCACGCCCTCAACCCTTCCGTGCCCCCCTTCATAAGCCCAAATCCCTCAAACTCAAACCCTCTGAATATTTTGTTTTTGTATTTTTTTTCTTTTTTTTTGGCTGCATAATTTGCGCGAGCTTCGCTTTAATGACTGTCCACTCAGAAGAGGAGAGAGGCCGCACTTCAGTGCCCAGCTCGCTGTATTTTTGTTTGTCTGTTTCAATTATTTTCTCTTTGTGGCATTCTTATCATAATTTTGCTTAGTCCACTGCCTCTTCTTTGCTGTCTTTCCGGGAAAGTCCTCTAAATGGTCGACAAAGCTTCAAAGCCGCAAGGACACTTTCAATTGTCGCCTGTTGTCCTTTGTGACATTTGTCGTCTGTTGTGACAAGTTGTATTTCTAATTTGAGCTAAGATCATAAACAGAAAAAAAGGAAGGGAACGAAAAAAAAACAACAACATTCATATTGTTTTTGTTGTTGTTTTTGTTTTGCTGCCAACTTTTCTAGTCATAATTATTTTTATATTTATTTTTATTGCGTTTGTTTGTTGTGGCTGTTGCGGTCAGCTGCAGACACGACAAAAACACACACACAATTGTATATATATATATGTGTGTGTGTGTGAGATATAGCACTTCAACAACAATGAATACAAGTAGAAATAGTTTTACTGTTAAAACTTTTGCCCTTAGGTGTTAGTTGCCAAATTGTTGTGAGTTTTTCAAAGGCTCGGTGTGTGTGAAAGCAGAGCGTAAAAAAGGACATGAAGTGTGGAAAATAAAAGATTATAGAAAGTGCCGAAAGTTAATTAGGGATATGCGCTGGAGTTGCAGGAGCTCTAATTAGGGACTTGGAAATTAATGAAAGCAGATTCCAAAAAAAAGTAAAACAAATAGAAAGAGGAAGAATTATAAACAAAAGCTGAGCCTAAAATATGGAAATGCATTTTCAACAAGTTTCTAATTAGTCCAAAAGTATATTTCCCTGAATATAAGTGAGACTTGCATAGACACTAGGAATGTAGAATGTGATGAGATAGTGTGAGGGAATGACAAAGGATATTTGGGATATTTTGGGAACGGCAGTTGGCTATCTCAAATATTTCATCTATGCCAACGAAAATTCCAATGAAAATCAACAAATAATAATCTACTTGGATGATTAACAAAGCTCAATTATGGCCAGCCCAAATAACTGCGCATGCCAATGGCAACACAAAGGGCCCTCCCTTAGCTCCTCAACTATTTTGGATCTAAGACGCATATATGGTAATACGATGTCCAGACATTTGGTGGCCATAAGCTCTCCCTCTCTCTCTAGCATAATGAGATGAAATTGAATATGCATTGTCGAGGATATTATTCCGAGTCTGAGTGCTAGCTACGCATACAACAAGTATTTCATATCAGTTTTTCCTTTTTTCCTTTTTGCTTTGGTTTTGTTATTATTGTTGCTATGCATACATCTTTTTGTTGTCCTCCCCCCGCTGCGCTGACCTGTGTCAAATGTCTCCGGCCATGTCCTTGCCCCATGCTGTGCGCCGCTGCAAATATGCTAGTAATGTCCTATTGATGTGGCACATCAAATCTGAATTTCGATATATGTATGTGTGTGTATGCTTATCAACGCCAGAAGCGCCGAGAAAAGGCTAGCGCAATCGGGAATTTAACAAGCACAAATTTACCAAGAACCAAATGAAATGGGCAATTAACCTTATCAAGTAACGTGCCGCGTGCCACAACAAGGAAAACGAAGGCATACAAAAAAGTATTTCAAATATGGCGAATATTAAATACTCTTGATGAAATGTGATACAATGGAGGTGACTTGAAAATGTTTGATTTTGTAATGGGTTCTTCATTTGATGAAAGTTTGTTTGGTTCTTATAGTGTAGAGAATGTTATTGCCTGTTAATTAAATAACCTTACCTGTGTTATATATGTTATATACAGAAAAACTTTTTAGTATGTCTTGTCTTATCTTATAAGTACAGGACTTGGCTTATATAATTCATTTATTTATTATTATTTTTTTTTATATATATATATAAATATTAAGTGTAGAACCGGTACATCAAAAATAGAACCATAACAACACAGGGAAGGTAAATTAATAATAGAGCCGAAGCCCATACCGAGCTATGGGGATTTTGGCTTATATAATAGCTTTAACTAAGAATACAGATTTTTCTTGAATTTTTCTTGACTTTGAAATCATTTCCATAATGTTTTCAGTACGGCAGTCAAACGATTCAAACTCGTATTATTTGGCCACTGAATCTATGACTTAATATAGTCCAAAGTCCTATAATAATACGAAATTCTAATTATATAAGAACTTTACCTTCAACTTAAATGTAATTCCCTTGAGAATATGACGAATATTATGTAGAAATATTTAAATCTAATGCAGCACCGTCTTTTTATCACGCCTCGCTTTGCTTAACTATGTATGTAGCTTTAGGTCTAGTCCATATTAACACAGCTGTTAATGCAGATTAGGATGTAATATGTATATAATTCATACTTATACAATTCTCTTCCTTTAAGCATTCCGTGACAAAGTTTCCGCATTCCTTTGTATAAGTGTATCAAGAGAAAGCGCAGAGGTACAAAATAATTCAAGAGCAATGCGCTGTCGTCTACT